AATGGTACAGTTGAAAGGAAAACACATACATTGGCTAATTTCCAGCATAGAGAAAAAGAAAAGAATAAGAAAAGGGGAACTCGTATGCAATCCAAATAGTAGCTTTTATTTATATTATATATAAGCAGAATTTTACAAAATAGAAATTACATATCCACTCCATTTATTTTTGTTACATATATATAGTAGATATTTCAAAGCACATTCATTAATAACACCACACATTATTCCAAGTACATATACATATGTGTCACTTAATATGGTGAGTCTCAATATCTTTAGTCATGTTGAGAGCAAATTCCATATATGTGTGTGGATCTGGCACATTTGCATTCTTCTTTTCATATTCAATAATCCAAGTAACTAAATTGTTTTCACCTTTTGTCTCAACATGAGTAGTGATGTAAAATGATTTGTAATCCTCCAATATATCTCCTTCCATTATCTTTTTCTTAATCAACTTCTTTTCTTCATCTATTTCTTCAACTATTTCCTTTACCACCTTCTCTTTCCCATCTGCAAAAAATAATAATTAAAAAATAGTAAAGATTCCATACTACTAATTTCATTTTTGAATGATCGATGATTTGGATTGAATCTGAACAGGTTAAAAATGATTTGAATCAATATAAGTGTTGGATCAAATTAATGACCCTTGTATATAAAACTTATATGTCAATAATTATAGATGTGTCAATTCAAAAGTGGACAAGTAATTAGGGACAGAGGGAACATTTCAATATGCAACATTGCTTATCATTTTAAAATTTTAAAATATTTTTTTTGTAAAAATTTACAGTTGTCACGTCATTAAATAGGTACCAAATATAAGATTTTGGGGAATTATTACTATGGAAGCTAACTTAGCTAAGTTGAGTGACTTTTGAAAGACAAAACAAAGTTGAGCGACTCTTAAGGCCATTTGGAACATATGTAAGGATGTTTATTGAACATTCAATCACCTAAATAACATAATGTTAGATTAATTAGGTAATACTTGTTATACAAGTTAGATTAATTAGGAGGTTATTGTTGAGAAGATGAACTAACATAGTTTTTTCATACCAAACCACAGCCAAAGACTAATTCTCCAATTTTTACTTTCACTATATAAACTTGTTTGAAGTGAAGTATAATGCATAATCAACAAAAGCATAAATTACAAGTCTTGAAACATTTATCACCTTTATACAATGGCTTATAAGTATACCCCACCTATTTTCTTGTTATTATTTGTCACTTTGTTTATAACAAGTAGTTATGTGATTCAAGCACAAGCGCGCAATCTTCTTGAAGTAACTATCCCTGAGCTTCCTAAGCCAGAATTGCCACATTTACCTGAAATCCCAACTTTGCCTAAGCTTGAATTCCCGCAAATTCCGAAACCTGAGTTGCCTACTCTACCAAAGCCCGAATTTCCAGAAATCCCAAAGCCGGAGTTTCCACCATTTCCAAAGGCTGAACTTCCAACGTTACCAAAACTCGAGATTCCTGTCATTCCTAAACCTGAATTGCCAACTTTGTCAAAGCCAGAAATCCCTCAAGTGCCTAAAAAGCCTTGAGCGCTACCGAAGCAACATTGTTAATTAAAATGTATTGTGTTGTGTGATCATATATGTATTTCTTTGTTGTGCTATACAATCTGCCATTTGAAACATTCCTTCGTTTTTTTTTTTTTGTCATCACTTCATTAATGTACTTGTGATTCTAGTGACATTATACATATCTCTTCGTTTCATTTGTTTGATTTTGACTTGACACAGACTTTACGAAAGTAAAGAAAACTTTTGAATATTATGATATCAAATTAAAGATATGTAGAATGTATCAAAATGTCTTTAATTCTGTATTCTTAAACATGCGTGTCAGGTGAAAAGTTAAAACTAAAGAGTTAGCCAAAATAGGAAAAAGACATTGTTTTTTAAGTGGACAAAAGATGAAAGTAAGACGGACAAATTTCAATTGGGATAGTTTTTCGTTCATGAGCTGAGGCACCAATATTCATCAATATCACCAAATTTGCTATTAAAATATGAGACAGTTAAGGAAAAAGTTTATATTTGTCTGGTGGTTTGATTAAATTTGTTCTCCGATGAAATGACTAACTGTAATTTCAAGCCAAATATTGCAACGACGAGGACATTAATGACCACATTAATTTTACGAATGGAAAAATTAAACCCTTTTACATAATTTTAAAGCAAATCTAACCCTTTTCCATATAATATATTTCTCCCACTATGTGGAGGTAACTAAATTATTGAAATAAACTTCACATAATTAATGTAGCCAATTATGGTAATATGGTTCAATAATAAACTAAAACAAAAATTCAATTTCACCATCTCTATATATATTTCTAGCTAACACATATACCGTGTGTATTCTGAGAGACCTTAGCCACATGGTACACTAAGTTGCTCAGATTCGGGTGAGTCAGATAAGGATGTGGATTTAGAGGTTGGATTCTTCATAATTTAAATTTTAAAATTTGGGAGCATGGATTCAGGTGCAGAGATTCGACCAAAAATAATTCAAATATCTAAATTATGAGACATTATGTGGATTACTTACTAGGTTTTTTAGGAGAAAATATTGTTTATAAAGAGGAGAACTCCAAAAGTAGATAAAAGGAAAAGGACTAACATAGAAATTACTATATACAAGCTATTTCATTTTCTTCAATTTCACCCTAGCTTTTGTTTTGATTACATAAATCATAGGTATCTGTCTTGAATTCCTCCATTGATTTTGGTCAAAATACCGAAAATTGGTTGACAAACTTTTGGTATGGATCCCATGCCCATTCACACGGCCACACCTATATCGTATTGACATGAATAATGCGATACTGAAAGAGAAGAATCTGAGCAACGTAGAGTGCATGACATAGTCCCGTCAACATGTTATCTTCTCTTTACTATTATACACAAGCTAGTTACGGTATGTCATTTTATTCAACAAACCTTTCATAAATGATGACCTTGTAGGAATATTTAATTTATGAAGTTATTGTTGAGAAGATGAACTAACACAACTTTTCCTATCAATCACAACCAAAGCCTAATTCTCCAATTTTGATTTTCCACAACCATACATCTATATAAATTTGTTTGAAGTGAAACATAATGCATAATCAACCAAAACATAAATTACTAGTCTTGAAGCATTTATCACCCTTCAACAATGGCTTATAATCACTACAACCCATCTTTTTTCTTGTTATTATTTGTCACATTGTTTTTAACAAACAACTACATAAATCAAGCAGACGCGCGCCATCTTCTTGAAGTAACTTTGCCTGAGCTTCCTAAGCCTGAATTGCCACATTTACCTGAAATCCCAACTTTGCCTAAGCCTAAATTACCTGAAATTCCAAAACCCGAGCTACCAACTCTATCAAGCCTCGAATTGCCACATTTACCTGAAATCCCAACTTTGCCTAAGCCCAAATTTCCTGAAATCCCAAAACCCAAGCTACCAACTCTACCAAAGCCCGAATTTCCCAAAATCCCACCATTATCAAAGTCTGAACTTCCAACATTGCCAAAACTTGAGATGCACGTCATTCCTAAGCCTGAATCGCCAACTTTGCCAAGGCCAAAAATCCCTCAAGTGCCTAAAAAGCCTTGAGCACTTGTGTATGAAATCCTATTTTCTTCATTGAAGCAACAATATTGTTAAAATGTTAACACTTAATTATGTTATGTGATCATATGTATGCTTTTTCTTTATTGTGCTAGAATCATTTGCAGCTTCCCTTTTGGAAGATATATATTTATTTGATTGCTCTATATATCATCACTTATTTGTGTTTCTTTTGGGGTTACATGTATATAATTTTTATACACTAAATCTTAGAAACTTTTTTGTAGTTTTTCTCATTCAAAGCACATATATAGAGTGCATAAAGCGTACTCGACATGCAACTTATTGAGAAAAGAAATGCCTCAACCTAATGAGTATAATATTTTAGACAAAAATAAACTTAACCAAAGTACGAAAAATTAACAGAGAGCCCTTCTTTTTTAAATCATATTTATCAACGGACATTATTATGTGGCTGTAATATAATGTCTCAATCGTCTCGTTCACGCAATAGGCATGGTCCAATAGATATTAGGCAAAGGAAATTAAGCAAGTAGATATAAATTGAAGAAGAAAGTTAAATAATTAAAAATATTTGCTTTAAATTAGCCAAAAAAGTCAAATAATTAAAATCTTTGCTTCTTCATCTTACTGTCAATAAGAATCCTACTCTTTTTTTTTTTAATTATTATTATTATTGACAACATAGCCACATTAATCATAGTTCACCTTACATGACTTATTAATCTTTTTACGGTTAATTAAGGTGTTAGCTCAAAAACTTATTTCTTCCTTCCGTCCATAGTATATGATATTTAATTATTTTTATAAGTTTGAGCATATTCTTTAAGAAAAAAATCACTTCTAAAAATAAGAGGTGTTTTCATTAAATCATTCCCAATTAAATAGACATAATTTAATATGGTTTATTGATAAAGTAAAAACACTTATTTAAATTAAATAAAGGTAAATATTATTTAGAAAATATTAGACTTTCTTAATTATGTAAGAAATTATTTATTTTTGGACTAAATAAAAGTTTAAAATACTATATAATATAAATCGAAAGGAGTAAGTGGACATTAAATGGTTCATCCTCCACTATGTACAACTTATATCATTAGTAACATGAAGATGATACAACAAATTGTAGTGTGTATATATATATATATATATATATATATCTTTAAAATAATGCATCCAACGAGAAAATCGCAATATTTCTTGACATATATATGTGATTTGGTTTGATTCGGTGGTAACATTTATATGTCAAGAAATATTACGATTTTCTCGTTGGATGCAATATTTTAAAGATATATATATATATATTGCATCTGTGTTTTTATATATTTCAATAATATATAGAAAATTCTTATGCCTATTGTGGAAAATGGGGTTCCTGGATTACCTCTGCATGCTCCATCAGTATTGCACTTCACTTCATTCCTCAGTGGTGGCATTTTTTACGGGAGTAATCGAGACCCGTAAAGGAGAAGAGTCTATGGGGGCATATCCGCATATGGGAAAGTCGGGTTGATTGGTGTGCTCATTATATTCAAGCAACGATATAGAAGAAAACAAAATGTAGCTAGAGGTCCGAGGGCAGGAAAAATAGTCGAGTCGATTAGGATCGATCGGAAAGAAGCAAGGCTATGTATATCATGACCAATCACCATCGATAAAGAAAAAAAATTAAAATGCGATTATATAAAAATAAATATACCTAATTACTTATAATTGTATTGTCATCATATTTCAATTGTCATGAGTATGTAAATATCATGATTAATTTATAACTAAACTAAAACGTACTTATAAGTTATACCCAATTGACTTAACACCGCCACTATGTGATATAGATATGTGGTGAATAATATTTTTCATTGATTAGCTTCTTATATTGTACAAGTTTTATACATTTTCTTACCACTTTCCTTTCGCAACTCGTTGCTATTACTAGGAAAAGAAAATATGGGCTTAAAAGGTAAATTGATTGTTTCATTGGAAGTAAAGTGTGGAGGACACTCGGTTCATGATATTTTCCACACTAATACCCATCATCTACCCAATATAAGCCCTAGCAGACTCAAACATTTCGAGATTCATGAAGGTGAAATTGGAAAAATTGGTTTGGTTGTTAGCTGGAAATATTATGAAGGTAACACACACATTTCTCTTCTCTCTTTCTCGCAATATTGTTTTCTTGCATCAATTTTATATATGTTTTATATTACGAAAGTCATTACTCGAGAAAATCTATTAGTTCCATGAAAAAAGTTAGTTAATGGTGTTTGATTATCAGTAATATATTTTACTTTTAGGCAAAAGTCATTTTCCTCAATTAATACTATATTCTAAATGTTTAGATCTTTTATGAGGAGTTTAACATTTGAATTGGGAGTAACATCTTTTATATTTGATCTTAATGAATAGATGGAAAAGAAATGTTTTGTAAGAGTGTGGTCGAAGCCATCGATCCTCCGAAGAATTCAATCACTTGGAAAGCGATTGAAGGACAACTTTTAGAGTTGTATAATTCTTTCACTGCTATTACATCTTGTGAAGATTGGACTACAATTGCACTTGTGTACGAGAAGAAAACTGAAGATACCCCAGAACCCCTAGCTTTCTTGTATTATTTCGTTGGTCTCACCAAGGATGTTGAAGGTCACATTCTCAAGAAATAGAAAATCTATCATGTTCAATGGTCCTATACATACATGGAGTCCGGAGTCAAATGAGCAAAAAAAATTGTCAATAATTTCAAAATGGCACATCAATTTTTTTTAAAACCAAAAGGGCAAAATCGCTCCTGACGAAGCGATTTCCCTCTGACACAAAACGAAAAATCGCTGCCCTAGCAGCGATTTTCTAAAAAAAAACAAAATTCTTTTATTAAAAATCATTGCCACAGCAGCGATTTTGTAATTTTTTTTTTTTTAATTAAAATGGCTGCGATTTTAAGTCAGACTTTTTTTTTCCTTACACATCGCTGCATGGGCAGCATTTTTCATGCCTAGTGCTATTATTTTCATGCCTATTGTTAATTATTAATAATATAAAAATGATAAACAAGACGGACAATATACTCAATAAAATTGTTGAAGCATGAGAAAAATTGAATTATTTATCATAAATAATAATAAAAGAATATTAAATTAAAAAAAAAAAAAAATTTAAATTCTTACCCAAAATCGCTGACAAAAGTTGTCATACGATTTTCAGGAGCGATTTTCTTCTGACAAAAGTTGTCGTACGTTAAAAAAAGTAAAAATCGCTGCTTTAGCAGCGATTTTCTCAAAAAAAAAATAATCTTTTTTTCTTGATTTTGGTTAAGAATTTAAAAAAAGAAAGTTTTTTTTTTTAATTTAATATTCTTTTGTTACTATTTATGATATATAATTCAATTTTTCTCATGCTTCAACAATTTTATTGAGTATACTGTCCGTCTTTTTTATCATTTTTATATTATTAATAATTAACAATAGGCATGAAAATAATAGCACTAGGCATGAAAAACGCTGCCCCTGTAGCGATGTGTAAGGAAAAAAAAATTCTGACTTAAAATCGTAGCCATTTTAATTAATAAAATTTTTTTTACAAAAGGCAGCGATTTTTCGTTTTGTGTCAGAGGGAAATCGCTTCGTCAGGAGCGATTTTGCCCTTTTGATTTTAAAAAAAATTGATGTGCCCTTTTGGAATTTTTGACAATTTTTTTTGCCCTTTTGGCTCCGACTCTACATACATGTATCTATGTGCTTGTGTTTTTGTGTGTTATTTCTTGTGTGATGAGTATTTGAAAATAATGGCTAGTACTAGCTAGCGTGTAAAATAAATAATATTATGTTCGAATAATATATATGTATTATTATGTAAAATACATAATATATATGTAATATAAATAAATAATATTATATACAGTTTTTTTTACTCTTAAGAACTTTGAATATTAGAGTAAGTAGAGCTACCTTTGCAGTAATTCCCATACATTGTAATCTCATATGACTACTAAATCTGATATTTTCTGACCCTATTACTCGTTTTCGATCAAATAGCTCTTGTCAGTCCAATAACTATTTGTGTAACCTTGATATTCATATTGGGCTGAACTTGGTTCATAACAGTAATAAATGACAATAACTAGGTACATAACATGAGTATTATTTAATTTACTATTATTGTACATAAGCTAGTTATAATTAATTTTAAGGAAAGGAGTATCTACATACATAAAATATGTGCTAGAATATGTTACACAAGGAAATTTATTGTCAGATTAAATTAATTAGGAGGTTATTGTTGAGAAGATGAACTAACACAGAATTTTTCCTACCAAAGCCTAATTCTCAAATTTTTATTTCCACAACCACACATCTATATAAACTTGTTTGAGGTGAAACATAATGTATGATCAACCAATAAACATAAATTACTACTCTTGAAGCAGTTATCACCTTTCAACAAATATGACAGTTTATTACAACAATCCATCTTTTTTCTTGTTATTATTTGTCACTTTGTTTTTAACAAACAACATAATTCAAGCAGACATCTTCTTGAAGTAATTTTGCCTGAGCTTCCTAAGCTTGAATTGCCACATTTACCTGAATTCCCTAAAATTCCAAAATCCGAGCTACCAACTCTACCAAAGCCCGAATTGCCACATTTACCTGAAATCCCAACTTTGCCTAATTAAGCCCAAATTTCCTGAAATCCCAAAACACGAGCTATCAACTCTACCAAAGTCAGAAATACCTGAAATCCCAACATTATCAACGCCTGAACTTCTAGCATTGCCAAAACTTGAGGTGTCTGTCATTCCTAAACCTGAATTACCAACTTTGCTTAAGTCAGAAATCCCTCAAGTGCCTAAAAAGCATTGAGCGGGGGGCGTATAAAATCCTCTTTGCTTCATTGAAGTAACAATATTGTTAAAATGTTAACACTTAATTATGTTATGTGATCATATGTATGTTTTTTTCTTTATCGTGCTAGAATCATTTGCAGCTTCCCTTTTCAAAAGAATATATGAAACTATATATTCAAACCTTTATATTATTTACAATTTTGTTAAACAAAAATGTTTGAAAGGACATTATTATATGGCTACGAATTACGATATTATGTCTTCCACATAATTGTCTTGCTCACGCAATAGGCATGCTCCAATATAGATGTTAGGTAAAGGAAATTAAGCAAGTAGATATAAATTTGAGAAGAAAGTTAAATAATTGAAATATTTTCTTTAAATTAGCCAAGAAAGTCAAATAATTAATTAAGGTTTTAGCACTTGGCTCAAAAACTTATTTCTTCCTTCCATCCATATTAATTATATAATATTTTTAGTTTCGACACACCCTTTAAGAAAAACATTCACCTCCTAGAAAATAAACACCATTAACATTAGCAGTGTTATCTCACTTTCATTTAAATAAGTGGACATGATAAACTGGTTCATCCTCCACTATGTATAACTTATCATTAATAACATGAAGATGATACAATAATAAATTGAAGAAATTAAATATACGGTTACATAAAAATAAATATACCTCATTATTTATAATTGTATTGTCATCATATTACAATTATCATGGTAAAATATCATAATAAATTTATAACTAAACTAAAACCTACTTATACACAATTTAATTAACACCGCCACTATGTGATATAGATATGTGGTGAATAATATTTTTCCTTGATTAGCTTCTTACATTAATTAAAATCTATATAAGAGGTACAAGTTTTATACATTTTCTTACCACTTACCTTTCGCAACTCATTGATATTACTAGGAAAAGAAAATATGGGCATAAAAGGTAAGTTGATTGTTTCACTGGAAGTGAACTGTGGAGGACATTCGATTCATGATATTTTCCACACTAATACCCAACATCTACCCAACATAAGCCCTAGTAGAGTTAAGCATTTTGAGATTCATGAAGGTGAAAAAGGAAAAATTGGTTCGGTTGCTAGCTGGAAATATTACGAAGGTAGCACACACATTTCTCTCCTCTCTTTCTCACAATATTACAAAGGTAGCACACACATTTTGATATGTGGTGAATAATATTTTATATTGATTACTCCCTCCATCCACTTTTATTGTCATGTTTTCCTTTTCTTAGAGTCAAACGATAAGAACTTTGAATAACATTTCATGTACTATTTCATGGAAAATTACTTCAGCCATCATTCTAATCTTCACGAGCATTAGATCATTTTTATTAAAACGAAAATAATAAAAGAGGGAAAATAAAATAAAGAATTTGAACATTTGAATTGGGAGTAACATCTATTGTATTTTTTTTTATCTTTAATGAATAGATGGAAAAGAAATGTTTGCTAAGACTGTGATTGAAGCCATCGATCCTCAGACGAATTCAATCACTTGGAATGCAATTGAAGGAAATTTGTTAGATTTGTATAATTCCTTCAATGTTATTACATCCTCTGAACATCAATGGATTACATATGCACTCGTGTATGAGAAAAAAACTGAAGATACTCCAGAACCCCTTGCTTTCTTAGATTATTTCATTGGTCTGATCAAGGATATAGAGGGCCACCTTCTCAAGAATTAAAAAGTCTACGATGTTCAATGGTCCTATACACACATATGTTTGTGTGTTTGTGTTTGTTCTTGTGTGATGAGTATTTGAAATTATTGGCTAGTTCTAGCTAGCGTGTAAAATAAATAATATTATGTTTGAAGAATGTATATATTATAAGTACTATGTACTCCAGCCTCTCTATATATAATGTCATGTTTGAAGAATATATAGTTGTGATTCAAGTGGCATTATATACATTTTTTTTAACTCTAAGAACTTTGAATTTTAGAGTAAGTAGAGCTAATTTTGTAGTAATTCATATACATTATAATCTCCTATGATTGCTAAACCTGATATTCCATTAATTATTAGCTAAGGCTCTAATAGAAAAGCCAATGGGGAAAGAATTTGGGTAAGAAAAAGTTTTTGTAGTAACTTGGAATTTCCTAGCCTAGTCCAGATTTGGACGGAAACGGAGTCACGAGAGTCTAGGGAAATCTGGTAAGGACTGAGAGATTCAATAATGAATTTGGAATTGCATGAGTAGATATCTAAGACGTTTAGAAACTCGTACGACTTTACGAAATCAAATTCAAAACTGATCTTAGCGTGAGCATGTAGTTTTTGAACGTCCTGATTTAAGGTGTGTTGTGAAATGGGGGTTTGGAGCTAAAATTCCAACTCACTGTCTCTGTGTATACCGCTGGGACGGGATTATTCCCACCAGGGCAGGGTCGCTGTGGCGGGAAGAGGGCCGCCTGTCAAGCCCCGAGCCTACACCCTGGGCGGGACCGGCACTCGGAGACCATTGCTGGCCCCAAGCGAACCCTTGGCCTAGCTTTCTTAACTCAGCGAAAACCTAACTCAACAGAATAACTTAAAGCAATGCAAGTTTACACAACAACTTAACTTATAAGAATCTGGCCACAAGGACATCTCAAATCTCAAAATAGATATCTACATATATACATAGAAGAGAGACTCAAAACTAACTGACTGACTGTCTATGAAGCCTCTAATATATTGAGATGGATGTTGGGACAGACCCCGCAATATCCTAATAGAACAGCACTAAGTACACAAAATAATTAAGTCCTCCGAAATGCAAGGAGGCTCACCACTGACTCTGG